AAATTCATACTTCTGATCTCAGTTGGGTAACTATCCCCACATATTAAAAAGGGAAAAAATATAGCAAAGTATAGCATCACAAATTATAGTTGGACACTATCGACATTTCGCCACCCTTCGTTCACACGTTTGATCGCCCCTAGGGTGCATCCTAGATGAACCGACGACGCGTGTGTAAACTTCGGCCCAAAACGGTGCCCGTTTTACAATTCTGCGGATTATTCCACGTCCTTAAAACAATCCTTCTGTACGCTTTTTTCTTCTACCCGTCCAACGTAACTCGGGATCACACGCGTGCAAAATGCAAATAAAATGAAATGAAATGAAAATGCTCCAGCACAGATTCTATTTGGGGCCCCGGGCAAAGGCGGAGGATGGGAGGGCAGGAGGGTGCATCCAGCACCGGATTTGGCAGGTGGGAAAGGGAAACGACGCACTCGTGCAAAATGTTTGCACCGGTCCCGAATCAAGCCCGCGCCGAAAAGCTCCGCCGAAATCCCACTTTGCAATTTTGCAGCGCAAAAGCGTGCAAGCTCCGCGTGCAAGGCCCTCTTCGCTTGCACGAGCTCGGGGGGGAAGCAACAACGAGGCACCCGTATCTAAAAGTGCATTGCACGCATCTTTTCCTAGACAAAACGCCTTTGGAAGAAACAGACCCGTGTTTGCAACACGAAAGCAAAAGAAACAGCGCCAAGACACACCCGCCTCTCCTTTTGCGCGCCCCTCCTGCTCACACCCACCCTCGAATTACCTTTTTTCAGCAGCTTCTTCACTTTGACGTAGTTGCCTTGCTTGACGTAGTCGTGCAGACGAGCCTCGGGGCTCTCGAGTTTCACCGTCCCGAGTTTGACCGGGCAGGGAACGGGAAGGGTATGGGCCATGCTTCCTGGTGGGGGGGGAAAGAGACGTTCAGAAGACGGTTCTGCGGGGAGACGAGACCATCCCTTTTGCAAGCTTCCACGGTGCCACGGACCTCTGGATCGTGTGAACCCATCTAACCCGTGTCTGCACACACACGCGCGACCGGTGTTTCCTCGCGAAGGCTTTAACACGTGTAGACGCACAAAGGGAAAAGGGGGCTGGGGGGAGGGACTCAAGCTATCCTTCTGAAAGACCGAGAAAGTAAATGAGCAGAACTCAGTCAATCAGAATAGAGTTGGAAGGGACCTTAGAGGTCTTCTAGTCCAGCCCCCTGCTCAATCAGGAGAACTTATACCATTACAGACAAGTGGCTGTCCAGTTTCTTCTTAAATCATAAACTTCTTAAATCATTGACTGTTTCCTAGTATGATTTGATTGCTTATTGTATCCTATGACTATCATTAAATGTTGTACCTTATGGTTCTTGACTTCTTGTATCTTTTCTTTTAAGTACACTGAGAGCATTTGCACCAAGACAAATTCCTTGTGTGTCCAACCACACTTGGCCAACAAAAGAATTCTAATAAAATGAATTGCTAGAATGCAGCCTAAAATGAGGGGTTTGATGCAATCGCTGGATGAATGAGATTATATCCCAGTACATCCTTATAAAACATCCAGAGTGACAGCTGACATCTATTTCATTAAAAGATCTTACCTCTTAATAACCATGCAATTTAATAAATTAGGAACATTTAGCCTTTTGATAAAAGAGACAGGTATATTACATCTATATATATCTCCAATCATGCCTATATCATCCACATCTCTCTATCCATCCACATCTCTCTCACTACAAATCTGTTTATCATCTACAAAGTCTGCACTACTACTATTAATCTTCTCTTCACTCCTTATCATCCCTCCCCTCCCACTTGTATCCTTACGATTTATACTAACTGTTTCCTAGTATGATTTGATTGTATTGTACCCTATGACTATAATTAAGTGTTGTGCCTGATGATTCTTGACAAATGTATCTTTTCTTTTGTGTATACTGAGAGTATTTACACCAAGACAAATTCCTTGTGTGTCCAATCACACTTGGCCAATAAAGAATTCTATCTATCCATCCAATCTATCACAACTGTTTATATGTCATTTATCTCTCCATACCAATTCATCCATGTCTCTCTCTCCATCTCTCCATCCACATCTCTAGCCATTTCTCCATGTCTTACATCCATCGACATATCTTTATCCATCTCACCATCCTCATCTCTCCATTTGTTTATCTTCTATCACCCAAATCTCTCCATTTCTCCATCTCTATATATCTCTCCATCCACATCTCTATCTATCTACAGTATCTACCTACCTACCTATCTGTCATCTGTCTATCTACTGTATCTATCTAAGATAGATAGATAGATAGATAGACAGACAGACAGACAGACAGACAGAGTAGATAGATGATAGATAGGTAGATAGATGATAGAGATGTGGATGTAGAGATATCATCTATCTACGGTATCTATCTACCTACCTACATATCTACTCTATCTATCTATCTACCTACCTACCTATCTATCTAATCTATCCTATCTATATCTATCATCTCTCTCTCTCTCTATCCCCCTCCTTTCCCAATCAATTAATCAACCAATCACGTTTATATCCGCCCATCTCACTATCCAAAACGATAACTGGCCCCAGTTATCCCGCTGATAAAAGAGAGAGGTGAAAAAGTTCTATTTGGGAAGTTTATGAAGGGATTGTCGCCCCCTCCCCAACTTCATAATTTCGGGTTTTTCCTTCTCTAGGGCTGTTCACTTCTCCGACTTTGGTTAAAGGCTTGGGCTGAAAGTCACCGCCCTCTCTCTCCTTCCCCTCGCCCCACGCAGCCCACCTTAGATCTCAAATCTCCGGGTTTCCTGCCTAAGCAAGGGGGTTGGACTAGAAGACCTCCAAGATCCCTTCCAATTCTATTATTCTATTCTCTGTCTGCGCCCCCCTCCCCCACGCCATCCCTTCCCGCAAAAAGAAACCTCCATTCGCCCCGCTCCTCCCTTCTCAGGGTCGCCCGACTCACCTCGGCGGCCGACTTTTGCTTTTTCAACTGCCGAGGAATTCAGTTGAGGCCGGCGGATGCCGTCACCGCGTTCTTCCCCACTGCGTAGCTTGCAGCGGGAGGGGAGGAGGGTGAGGCGGGAAAGAGGAAGGAAGAGTGCAAAATCGGGGGGGGGGGGGGGCCCCCCCCCCGCCGGGGGGGGGGAAAGAAGGCATCCCCCGGGCGCGGGGCGCGGGTTGGGGTTGGGGGGGGAAAGGGGGTTGGGGGGGGGGGGGGGAGTTGCACTAAAATGTGCAAGGCGGGAGGAGGCTTTTTGCAAAACCGTCTAGAAGCCGGTTGCATTAGAAAGCCCCTACCTGTTTCCACGATTTGGGGGATTCTTTAAAAAAATATTTTATTAATTCATTAATTGTTAAATTTATTCGCCGCCTGTCACGCCCTGGGACTACTCTAGGCGGCTGACAATCATTAAAAAAAGAAGGAAAATGAGAGCGTAAACAGAAAAGTCCCAAAGATGCTTTTTTTTTTTTTTTTACAAAAGGCAACTGGACTTTCTTGGTTTTTCTTTTGAAGACGTTTCCCTTCTCATCCCAGAAGCTTCTTCAGCTCTAGCTGGAGGGTGAGGGATCCAGGAATCCAGCTGAAGAAGCTTCTCGGATTGAGAAACGAAACGTCTTCAAAAGAAAAACCAAGGAAGTCCAAATGCCTCTTGAAAAAAGAATCTCATAGACAAAACAAAATGGAAGTAAAAATAATAGGAATGAAACTAAGCCAAGAACATGAAAAAGAAAAAAAAATACGATTTATTTTTTTTTCACCTTTGGATTTTGGAGTTTTAATTTTTTGAATAGAAAAATGAGGTGAACTCTTTGAACAATAAAATAATGAAAAAGGACCCGATGAGAATAGGTCGATAATCAATAATACATCAATTATCACATTTTTATTAAGTGTATACGCTAATCTTGCTAGCCAACGTCTTTGAGCATTTTGTTCAGGATCCCAACATGGCTTTGGAGGCTCAGAACTGGAGAAATCGATGAATTATTGCGATAGGGATAGCAAGGTGGGTTGGTGTTTTCATTTAGTGAGCCTCAATGACCAGGGGCAGTATATCCCCTGGGTTAGAGAATTCCCTTAAGAAAGCAATTGGTAGGGGATTAGACCTGTGGGGGGGGGGAGAGGAAGGTGGAGAGAAAGAGGGGAAGGAAAGGAGAGAAGAGGGAGGGAGGGAGAGAAAGAGGGAGGAAGAGAGGTGGAGAGAAAGAAGAGGGGGAGGGAGGGAGAAAGGGGGAGATAAAGGAAGTGAAGGAGAGAAGAGGGAGGGAGGAAGAGGTGGAGAGAAAGGGGAAGGG